ACTAGGCTGAGCGTGGATTAAATAATGTGACTGTTAGTATAGGTGGGAAAATTAAACACTTTTTGAAAAAAACATTATGATAAAAATATTTTTATATATATTTATAATTCTGCAAATATTAACGGGATAAACTCGCAGCTATTTCGCGGCCCGGCCGATTAACACCTCGGGTGGTTGGAACCCTGATCTAGATTACATTTTGGGCACATTGATCATCTCTGTGTGACAATTGACTCACCTGGTTTCTCCAAACACCATTCAGCCTTCGGGTGAAACACACACAATGCTTGTTGGGGCGGACCCCCACACCTTCACGCTCCTCTTTGATGAGTGTACATCTCTTTTCCCGAGTTGTCCCCCTGCAGCATGGCAAGTCAAAACAACTGCAGAAATAACACAAGAATAATGGGACAGAATACCAAATCAATAATGTTAGGAAATGTCCATCCATCCCATCTTCTCCGCGCTTTGATCGGGGTGGGTCGGGTCGCAGAGGTAGCAGTTCCAGCCAGAGAGCCCCAAACTTTCTTTCTTGGCACGGTCAAACGCAGCTCTGGACTGGGGGATCCCAGGCGCTTCCAGGCCAGCGAAGGGATTTAGATCCCTTCACGTGGTGTGTTACCCTTGGTGTTCTTCCCAGCTGGACGTGCTGGCAATACACCGGTCGCGTAGAGGAGGGCGGCCCGGTGGCTCCGGCGGGGTAACGTAGGTGCCGGCACTTTCGACTGGCTCCTTTGACGCGAAGTGAAGAAGGCGTTCACTCGAGTCGGCTTCCGATGGACCGAACTTCTCCGTTATCCCTGTAACCGCGCCCGCCGGGGGACAGCCGGACGCTCCGGTGGCCGGGGGCCCAGGGCGGGGAGACCGCATCTGCGGAGGAAAACATTGTGTAGCGCTTATCGGTGGTTTCGTTCTTTTGGGTCATGACGCCCATCCTTCATTGGGGACACATAGGTGAGCGGTAGAACGATATGGGCGCGGTAGACAGAGAGGCTTTGGTGTTTTGCTCAGCTCCTTTTCGTGGCAACGTTGCGGTAAGAGATTGCCAGTACCGCTCCCGCTGCTCGATTCTCAACCCATCTCGACGCTCCATTGTTCCTCACTCGAGAACAAGACCCGAGATACTTGAACTCCTTCACTTGGGGTAAGGACTCATTCCCTACTTGGAGTGGACAGTCCATCGGTTTCCTGCCGAGAACCATGGCCTCAGATGACAGTGACAAAGTGCAGCCCTGGCGGAGGCCAACCCTCACCGGAAATGGGTCCGACTTACTGCCGAGGACCCGGACACAGCTCTCGCTTTGGGAGTACAGAGATTGGCTGGCACTGAGTAGAGACCCCCTCACCCCATACTCCTGCAGCACCTCCCACAGTAACTCCCTCGGAACTCGGTCATACGCCTTCTCCAAGTCTACAAAACACATGTAGACCGGATAAGCATACTCCCAGGCCCCCTCCAGGATCCTTGCGAGAGTAAAAAGCTGATCCGTCATTTCACGACCAGGACGGAATCTGCATTGTCTGACTTATAAAGGGTGATACAGATCTGAATTTCAAAGGCCAAATTCAAGAGGGAAAATAAAATAATGTGGAGCGCATTTAGACGTGATAATAATAACTTACCTTTTTTACGACAAAGTCACCGGGTAAATAGATGATAGACTTGAGCCTCAGCAACATGTCCACCAACATCTGCTGGTCGCAGCCCTGGGGAGACAATAACAAGATGTTTAAATGACCTAATGTCCAAGCTGCAGTATGTCTGCTTCTCTGTGTTTGTGAAAAGGCACCTTGAAAAGTTCAATCTTCTGGAAGGTGGTCAAGTTGATGTCGACAGCGATGGCGGTTCTCATCACCAGAGGCATGCTTTCCAGAAGCTCCGTCTCGTCTGAAAGCACCAAGGTCAAACAGGAAAGGTTAAAGGAGGAAGTAAAGTCACTCTTTTAAGATGTTGTGGATTCTAATAATGAAAGGCTTTCTAACAAAAGTAAACTGAACACTTTGTGTAGTGTTACTGACCCAGCATGCCCTGAGCGTCCCAGGTGTAGGTGTACCAGGTGCGGACTCGGTTCTGCACCTCAGAGGGGATGTGATTGGTCACCATGTAGGCCACAGTGCCGTCCATGGAGGATCTGAAGTATGTCTGTCCTGCTGTGGCTGCACCGATGACGTCCCTCATCTGAAGCACAGGGAAATCTTTCGTTCAAATCGGAGAACTACTGCAGTCGATTACACATGTTTTTGTAGCTAAAATCTGTACATTTAACAACATTTTTGACAGTCAAGACTTCACAAGGAACCGGTGGAACACAACATTTAGAGTGACGGATGATGGGGTGTTAGTGGAACTACTATGGTGAGATGAATGGTGGTGTCTGTCATTTCAAACACCACACGTTGTATTCATCTGTCACTACATTACGACACCAAGGAGACACGGTCATTTAGAGGTTTCTACAGGAACTGAGCATGCTGGGACTTTGACTCATGAATTAGCTCCATGTTACCTGTCCAATCAAACTGGAGAACACAAAGACGCCCACGAAAAAGTTAGTCATCTGAAAGGTAATCTCAAACACGGTATGGGGTTCGATAAGACCCCCGATGTTGATCAGACTGCGGACAGCGTAGTAGTAACAACGCAGGTAACCTGTGGAGAGGGGGGGGGGGGGGGGGGGTGGGGGGGGGGCGTTAGGCCGGCAGTCACACTCACTATATTTCACTGGCCTGTTATATTTTGGGACGGACATAGTGCTAAACGTGTGCGCATGTGTTGAGGAGGAAGGATTGTTATGTATCCTTTTTTTGGCTTGAATCCCTTGACATCTTGCTGCCAAAAATATAAAAAGGTAGAAAATAAATGTGCTCAAATTCAAATAAAAAAAAAAATATATATATATAAATAAATAAAAACTTTTAAAAAATGATTATAATTAAACTACCTGGATAAGAATGGTGGACATAAAGAAAGCCCNAATCTAACAGTTCCGGCGATCCACTTATTATTTTATTTAATGTTACAAAACAAAAATGACCATGTTCACGTCTTAAAGTCATCCTGAGGCCTTAGTTTTGGTTTAAAATTACACAACATCATGTATGTGTTGCTTCTTTTGGGCTTGTTTTCATAGACCTGGTTGCTTATTTCTCTCAAATCTGGCAACAGAGTGGGCGCAGTGTCTAATAGTAGCAGTAAGCTAACGAGAGGCTACGTTCAGCTGGTGACTCGGGAGTCGGGACAGAGAAAATGTCAGGAGTTTGGAAGTATTATATAATTGAAAGCGAAGGCAGTGTAACAGCCAGATGCAATATTTGCAAGGCGGAGGTTCCGCGTGGTGGAAAGAACAGAACTACGTTCAACACGACCAATCTAATACGCAACCTGAGAAACAAACACAAACAACAACACAACGAGTACACAGCGGCCACTCAGGTAACGGCACTGAAACAACCAGCACTTTCAGAGACTTTTAAAAGGAAAGAGAAACTGCCCCAGAACAGTGAAAAGGCCAAAAAAATAACAGCCAAGATAGCTGAATTCATCGCGTTGGATGACCAGCCGTTATCTGTTACCTTTTTTTCTCTTAATGCATTGCATAAAGATCGTATCGGGAAAAATTGGTATCAGCAGATTGTCAAAATCAAATGATCCGGATCGGATCGGGAACAAAAATAGTTGATCGGGACATCCCTAGTAATCTGTGACGTTTCCCTCTCTCAAAAGTTGGGCCATTTTGTCCTCATGCGCCAATGAGCAGCTCTCATAGGAAAGAACGAGACCCCGCCTCCGACGCTGTATCCAGTTCTTATTATACATCCATGAACGCACATCTGTAAAGATGACCTGTTGCTCGTGGTTGATTGTTGCCCACGTTATGTGAAAACTGCCATTGTTGTATGTATTTGTTTGTACAGTGTGGTTGCGGTCATGGTTGGTGTGCCCCTAAACTCTGCATCAAGTCTACTGAATTTAAAGTAAAATACTGCCGTTCCGACCCTCGCCCTCTTCGCGGAAATGTAACCCCCACCACGCGACCGTCCGTCCGTCCCTCAGGTTAACGCTAATGTCGTTGTTTGCACTGTACTCACCTGTTAACTGCCGGCCGCCGCCATTTTGAATCGCGTGTTAATGCATCCCTCATTGAATAGGCCAGAAATGTCGTTTTCTAGCAACATCACTTTGTTTTATTATTTCAAATTGCTTTATGTTTGACCTACAGAATGTACCAACTACACATATTCAACCCATGTACAGATATTTATGTCATAGCTAACTTTAGGCCTACTGTATCATTCTAAGGTGAAATGTCGCAACTTCTCTAAGCCCATGAAAGTCCTTATTTATGAGGAAAGAATCGTAAGATCCAATTTAAATATGGTAGTTCATCTACATTCTTGCATCAAAACTGTACTGAATCAAGTAAAAAAAAAAATCCTACTTTTGTTTTTCTAGTAAAATAACGTTTTTGAGCAACTTTACTTTATGGAAATGTCTTATTACATTCAGACATATTGGAAGAGCCAGTTAAAGCTTTTAGTTAGATAACATACATTATGTGCAATGGTGAAAGTATTCACACACACACGTACTCTGCACAGGCAGTAAGCTTACATCTGTAAGCCTATTTCAATCTTATGGTGATGGGCTTACATGACACCAATGGTGGGGGCTATTCTCTGTGCAGGAGTATTAGTGGTGCTAAAAGCAGTAACACCATTGGAGACAGCTTGTTTGTGTGGACTTGTTGCTTTAAAAGAATGCAAGAAGAAGAGGTTGACAAAGAGAAAAGAGAGGGTTAATCTAGAAGGGAGTATTTCAGCTATAACAGCAGGTGCTACCTTCGTTTTCTGGACATGTTTGGCAGGTTGAAGAGAGTCTTTGCTGGCCCGCAGGTGCCAGAGGCTTTAGGCACCCCTGCAGCTCCTGCTCCAGCTCCAGCTCCAGCTCCTGATCCAACTCCAGCTACAGCTCCAGCCACAGCTCCAGCCAAGGTAAGACTTGTTTTAAAAAGAAAAAGGTGTGCTATATATTCATTAGGTAAATACAACTGTTAATTGTGAACTGTGTAATGTTTGCAGTGATTTCTAAGGCATTCAATTATTCTACAATGCTTTAACAAGCGTTCAATAGCCCTGCAACAGCCAAGACTGAAATCAAGCATGATAACATAATGTGCAGTGTTGCATCCAGCCTGTAACACAGCAATTTTGGTTTACATTTGTTCCTCACATCAGTGGCATCTTATCTGCTCCCCCATACACTCAATTGTGCCGTACCCTTGCCAACAAAGAATCAAATCAAATTGCTTCTCGACACGGACCTCATTGAAATTGCTCATTACCCAACGGGCACTTTTAAATTCATTTCATCTCAGACCCAGCTTTTTTTAGAAAAAAAAGTGTATCATGCAAGGGAGTCATTTGTCAAATGATAAATTCCCTTTTCTTTAAAAGGCTCTCTAAATGAAAGTGTCTCTCTAATGACCATGTTTTGACTAATGAGCAACTTTGTGGGATATGTTGATTTGTCTTGTAGGAGGAGAAGCCAGCCGATAAGGAGAATGAGGCCAAGAAAGAGGACAAACCGCAGCGTAAGTGATCATTTATGTGAGAGGCTGAAACCACACATTTAGAAACCAAATTATTCTGCTTCCCTTTTTGTTTTACTTTGTGTGTCACCTGGACTTTACTGTCCTTTTAATGTTGAAACTGTATACCAGGCATACTGCAAATGTTGTCACTTTGTACTAAAGTGAACTTTAGTATTTGCAACTTAACCATTGTCTGTATTAGTTTTCAAAGCATTGTATTGCCCATTCCTGTCACTTAAAAAAAATACATATATATTATTATTTATTAATTATTGAGAAGGAAAATCAGATCATTCAGACAACAGAGTGTACAACATTTAACGTCTCTTGAAGTTATTGTCTGTCCAAACATCATTGACCCTGCAGTCTGATGTAAGATGCATTGAATTCAGTTACTTGTTGATAGTGTAGTCTCCTTCTAGGCACTTGTCTTGTAGCAATTGTACCATCAAGCACAATGGGTGTGTCATAGCTCTGTTATTTGACCTTATATAGATAATGATACTTTTACTTAATTTCTCTGAAAACCAACTTACCCTTTAAAAGGCCTTTACTTTAAAACATGCACCACAGACAAATCTGGTATTATGGACAGTGTCCATTTCATTTATATCACACATGTTTTTATATATTCATTTGTAGCATAATTGATAATGACGTGAGACTTTATAGCCACGGAATGATGTACTGTTATTCTGAGGTTATTATTTTGTATTTAAAATGTTTAGAATCCAAACCTATCTCTTAATAAAGTGCCATATGCTTAACATACTGTGGCAACAATAATGACGTTATTTGTATGGCAAGAAAAATGAAATGAGAAAAGTCACATGAAAAAAAACACAAAATGAAGAAGTTCAGGAAATGCATAATGCTAAATACATTGTTCAAATGCAAGGCTAAAAAAAATTTGCAAAATGTGTTTGGAGGAGATGTACTTATTATGGATTCTGATTGTTCCCATTTGCTCAGAATCAACACCTGCCCCAGCAGCGGCCCCTGCACCTGCCCCTACTCCGGCTCCAGCTCCGGCTCCAGCTCCAGCTCCAGCTCCGGCCCCCACTCCGGCAGCAGCCCCTGCCCCAGGAGCAGCTCCTGCTAACCCTGATCAAGCTGGACCTGAGGGGTAAGACATGCACCCTTGCTGCTTTCTATAGTCTCCAATAGTTTGAGCAATACATCATCACAGGTATTTTCTCTGTCTGATATGTTTGCAGACAAATGGCTGGGAGATGCATTGAGAGTATAATAAAAGTATTGGGCAATTAAAGAGAGTAGATTAAGTTTGTTGATCCGTCGAGCCTCTAAACACCACTTTAGCGTACCAAACCACACGCCTGCCAAGACACTGCCACCGAACTAGTTTCAATTAATCACCCAATGGCCACTAATTAATCAGATTCTCTGGCAAGAACACAGTGAGACACAGAGATGAACACATGTGAGATCTTGATCCCTCGGAAGAACTTGCATACAAGGCGGGGTTGACCTGAAAGTGGATTAAAAGCTTTGCAGCTTTTAAGGTTTAAGGAGCTCAAGGCTGCTTCGGGCCCAGCCAAAAAAAACCTGACTGTGGCATATTGACCTGCAAAACTTAAAAACTAATATCACTTATCTATATGAGTAGATTATTAGTATTAAATATTTAATCAAAGGATGATAATTGAGTGGCAGTAAGATGGTGAGGCTTTATGTGGAGCACATTTAGACGTGTCGGCGATCAGTTTAAATGACGAGAATAAATATCTGCAGTTTGCCATGGCATAAAATACAATTTACAACTGAAGAAATGTTTTGTCTATGAACAATTTTTTTTTGTCTTGGTTTTCTCTAACTTACACTTATGCTGTCTAATATAACTTTGTTCAATACATTCTAACTTCATGAAGGTATTAATGTTTGTATGATTAAGAGAGGAGGTGCCTATTAAACCATATGGTCATTTAAGAGGCGGCAGTTTGCAGTGCTGTTGAATTGTTGAGTTATACGTAAATAGAGGCATTTTTGTAATTTAGCCTAACGTCATTGGACCAAATGATATAAACTTAAACAAAATGATATAAACTTGTTTCAAGCTATTGTGAAAAGTATTGTCTTTAATTTGATTACATTTGAACTTATTCAATTCATATATGGTTACCATCAGGATGTTGTGGTGCGGTAGTGGTTTATTCAAATCAATGACTTGACACCATAGATAGACTGTAGCTCCTGTAGCTTGACACAAATGCATTTCACCTTGGTGTAATATTAGATTGAGGCCACCAGGGGGCGACACATGAGCACAGATCGCACATATGTCCTCTTCTCTATCTGTACTGCTGAGGCTGCTAAGCTGAGCCTTTCAACTTTTAATGTAATTTCACAGTACAGATTGTTTCATTAAAAAAAAACACTATTTGCTATGCTGAGCCATGTGTGAAAAGCAGTTGTAGACCGTAGACATGACATAAGTAAAACAGTTACTGGCTTGTTCTTACTTTTTTTGTTAAAAGACACATAACATTTCATTTTCTCTGCTAATACTTTTCGTTTAGTTTGACCCACTTGAAGGCAGATGCTAAAAAGCTGTGAACACAATCATCGTTATTCGTTAAAGTTGAAATGGCAATCTTTCTAGCACATATTTGGCTATTACCCACACCCAGCTGATACAACAACATTAGCATTTGATCCAGTTTGGTTTCTGGCAACTTGGTTTATTTAATTCTAATATTTCTCCCATTATTGGCCACTTTACTCTTAAGGGAAGTAACTAAATCTACTAAATCCTCCACCCACTGCATCTAGTTAGCGCTATGCAGGCAGTGTTTCATGGGTTTTAAGAGTTTTAATTTGGGCTGCTCAAACAGGTGTCTGCTCTGGCCAAATAAGAGCATTAACACTGAACCAACACAGTAGACTAGAGTTATGTTTCAGAAAACTGTACACTAAAGCTCAATAGATGCGATGACAACTGCAGACTCTTTGTCAAAAATATTGATTGTAGGCACTAAGTAACATCACCTCCGACTAGTCTTGCTACAGCTTGCTAATTGCAAAATAAATTGCTTATTTGCCATCTTAAATATAATATATATATGTATTGCTCTTTTTGCTGCACTTTTAGTTTACAGTTTTGCTGCTGTGTTTATTGTGTTTATTGTATTTTGTTACTCTGGCACAACAATTTCCTTCGGGATGAATAAAGTCTTATCTTAAATTCATATTTCATTCATATCCAAGGTACTGTGGCTAATATTTCTAATAATTGTTTTTTAATCTACAGAGAAGAGGCGCCCCCTCCTCCACCTCCACCCATTGTCATAAACAAGTATGCAGACGAGCAGCTCAGATCCATAGCCCAACGCATGCACGAAAGACTGAACATCTACAAAGAGAAAGTGGTCGATCAGTACGCTTCATCCCCAGAGATCACTCCTCCTGTCAGTAAGTACTAACCCATTACAGCCTCCCTTCAGCTGTGTAAGTTAGCATGACAGCGACTTGCGGTATCTTCCGTGCTTAACAGTCTTTATAGTTCACAAACAATGAAAAGTTTGTTTTCCGTGTCTCAGCCCACTTTTAAATATTGTCCTTTCAGCACCTGTGCTGCTCAAAGACGAACACACACAACTCCTAGAGGATAGGAAAAAGCAAGCAGAGGAGGACCGCGTAAAGAAGGAAGAGGCTGACGATAAGAAGAAAGAGGAGCAGGAGAAGAAGAAAAAGGAGAACGCCGAGAAGAAGAAGGAAGACGAGAAGCAAAAGATATTACAGGCTGTAAATGTGCAACTGAATAGGAACATACCGACCAAGATAAAGGAAGCTTTCTGGTACTCGGTGGACGTTGTTCTGAAGCCAATTGAGGACAAGATGGACTCTGTGCTGGGGAACACCATTGACCCTTTCACAGACCGGCACTACATCGCCTGGCTGAGCTTGGTGACCTTGGCCTTCAACTACAACACCTGGTTTATCACGGCCCGTCTGTGCTTCCCGTACCACTCGGAATATGCCATTCCCTTCTGGTTCGCCGGAGATACGCTGGCAGACCTCATCTACCTCATAGACACAATCCTCTTCCAGCCCCGCAGACAGTTTGTCAAAGGAGGGGACATCATAGTAAGTCTAATTTCATTCAGTAGATCCTGATGATGAGAATGATTTAGATTGAACAAATTGACAAATGATTCTGTTCCCTTTTTAGACGGACCGACTGGTGACAAAGACAAACTACAGAACATCTGTCAGATTCAAGGTACTATAACTCAATTTCTTAGAAAAATGAGGAAGAACTAATCTCAGTGACCTCATATCTCTGTCTCCCCTCAACAGCTAGACATGCTGGCCATCATGCCATTCGACTTGCTGTACCTAGAGTTTGGATTCAAATCCGTTTTCAGAGCCAATCGTCTGATGAAGGTGAGTTTCCCCATGTGTTACAAAGGCCAGCCAATTTATGCTTGACCACGATTCCTTCCTGTGGCTGACACTTTCATGCTTATTCTCAAGGCGGACACATTCTTTGAGTTCAGCGATCGTCTTGAGAGCTTAATGTCCAAAGCTTACATCTGGAGGTCAGTCAAAGGATCATGCCGTAATTGATGTTACCATATTTTAATCACTTCAAAAAAGGCTGTCTGTTTGACAGGGAGTTGAAAGTCAAATGAACAGATAAAAAGAGACGTTTCTTTACTTTTCCATTAGAGTGATTCGGACCATTGGATATCTTCTCTTCATGCTGCACCTCAACGCCTGCTTCTACTACGTGGCTTCAGAGTATCAGGGAATCGGGAAGACTAGATGGGTTTACTCCGGTCTGGGCAGCGCGTAAGTACAACAGTTAAAGTGTGAGGCATTTTAGTTGTCTATCTCTCCAGGAATAGACATGCATAAATAAACATTAAATACAGACCATGAGAAAGAAATGTAAATATGCTGAGAGTGAGGTGGAAAATTGTGTAAAACATACAAAATGTTATAATCTATGGGATGTTTTGATCATTGTGAAAGACACTTTATCCTTAATCCCAGTTCTATAAGAAACACACTTTCACCGGCATCTTTATCTATAAACGCAATTTGAACTTTAAGTAGTATTTTATAGGATAAGATAAGATGTACTTTATTAATCCCAATTTGAACAAATGTTTGCGGCAGCATAAAAGAGAAGGCATTGCCCATAAGAGAAATTAAAAGAGTAGAAATAAATCCTTCTAAAATGTAAACATCTCAAAATAGAAATAAAAGAGCATTACAAAAATATATATATACATGTTGAAATACCAATTTACAGTAAACAAAATGAAGCAGGATATTAAATACATATTATATTATTTATTCTTTTGCTCATTTAAATAAAGGTCTAGTAAAGTAGTTTCCCATAAACATAGGGGCTGCCACACGTGACAAAACGGGACACGTTTATCAAACACCAGCCAGCTTTTAGAGTCATTGCAATGCTTTCTGCACTGAAAACAAGTTGTAGTTTTCTCCATCTGTGTGGCGTCCACACTTTGAAAATGTCTTGTATGTTCTGTCCGCCGCTGCTGCAGCTACCTCAGCTGCTTCTTCTATGCCGAGAAGTCCCTGCTGATGATCGCTGAGTTGCCATTACCAGACACCATGTTCGGACAGATCTTTCAGATGACAAACTACCTTTTTGGGGCTTTCTTTATGTCCACCATTCTTATCCAGGTAGTTTAATTATAATCATTTTGTNGGACTTCCGGCCGGGAACTTCAGGTGGCAGTATACGCATACTTGTCAACCGAAACCGGGAGAGGGCAATGAAATCGGGAGTCTCCCGCGAAAATCGGGAGGGTTGACAAGTATGCGTATACTGCCACCTGAAGTTCCCGGCCGGAAGTCCCCGGAGTTGGGGACTGGCTTCAGTAGTAGCTGCTCTCCCAGCAGCTTCTACTGAAGCCAGAACCCCGACACCTCCTCATCACTCCACCGCTACCATGTTTTTTTTTGTGTTGCCATAAGTTATTCTCTCTCCGTTGGTGCACGGGGCTAATGCTAATAATGCTAATGCCAGCTAATCCAATGGCGGCTTCAAAAAACTTTTCAGAGTTTTACGGGGCGTTGTTGGCAATTCGCCCATCCAATAGAAATTGGTACTTTTTTCTCCCCAGGATAGTACCACCTCTCTAGCAGGCACTAAGAATGGGGGTAAAAGACCCCGGCACTAAGTACTCTTTTTGGTGTGAACGCAAAATAAGGGATACTAACGGAACTAAACAGGAAAATGCAGGGAAAAGTACCCTGGTGTGAATGCGCCTAATGTCAATGGGGAAAAGTATTTCTGGGCCCAGTGACGTCACGGACTGATACGGAAATTGTAGTACTGTCGTTTGGACGCAACGAATATTTTCATCAGAGTCCGGCACACTTCCTGTGGGTTTGTGTGCGTTCGACGAAGGCAACAATATATCCTGCTTCCGGCAACGCCCTCGACCTCTACCACAGTATAGGGAAATCGCATCTTACATCAAAAAACTTAAATACAACAAAGACGTTCAAATACATTTTTAACAACATTTAACGCGACATGACAATACACTGACTAGAGGATCTTAATTAAATTTGACACATCACAAGATAATCATAAAAGAAACCTGAACAGCTAATTAAAGGATACATACCCCTCTTCAGTTGATTTGACATGGTATCTCCCAAAAGGTTTAATTGATGCTCAGACACCACCTGCTGATCAAAGCGTGATAACAGGCAGAACTGTTACAGGTGTCTTTAATAAAACATGTGAACTCTGAAACAGGCTTTTTCTGCGATTTTCTCTTAAGTATATTATTATTGCTTAACATAATGGCTAATGTGATTAAACGTGTGTAAATTAATACTTTTCCAAATGTTTTATCATAAGGATATTATTGCTCTTAAACTAGATAGTGGCAGTGGTTTAAATAGTGACTTTGTGTAAAGATTATTTTATTTTATTTTTCAGAGCAGGAAGCTTAATATCATTATTTCTCTTCCTTAAAGGTTCCCTGTTGTACTGTTTTAGGGTTAGGGTTAGCTATCAAAATGGGTCTAACATCTGTCTTTGTTTTGGTGCATTAGTTTCCCCAACTGTCAACAGGTGGATTTACCAGGTGAATCAATACTCAGTGGATGCACAGTTAAAACCCAAACACAGGTTAAAAGAAGAGGAAACAGCAGGAAGAGTTTAATGATGTATTCATGGAATAAACTTACAAAGTCCGAAGGCAAAAAAGGAGTATCGGCAGGAAAGACTGATTAGGTGAAATGGTGACGTGACTTCACGATTAATAAAAAGGGACAGTTCAAATTAATCAGGCGGGGCAGACAATCAAACCTGGCAGGAAGTGAACGGATCTAAAACAAGAGGAGATGTGAGTTACAGAATAAAACAGAAAATGAACAAGTTAAATGTAACAACATTTAGAAGCAGGGCAGGTTCTGACACCTGTGTGTTTGGGTGCATATACATTTCTCCTGTCCACATGCTGTGATTCATAATGTAGAGACTTTACATCACATTAAATGATTTCATAAACACCAAGATACACACAGGAAGAAATCACAAGTGTGGTTATTTCACCCCATAAATCTCTCCATTTCACTTTCATTATCTCACATACTTTCCTGTTCCCATAGCCCATATCTCAGTAAGACACTCATTTGCTTGCCTGTCATTAAGAATAAAATGACACCCACCCACAGGGCCCATATTCTGCTGTTCCATCTCTCTTGTCACAGGGAGAGAGCAAACCAATGAAATGCCACGGTGATGCAGACGGGGCTTGACTCAGCCGGGGGCTTCGTGTAATGTATCTCGGAGCGTTCTCAAGGACCATTGACTTGTCTGGGGCGCGGAGATGAGTAGAGGAGGAAGCAGGCGAGTCACTTTTTCATGCCTCTACATATTTCCGCTACGCAGTGATGCAAGGGGATAGGGTCATTAGATCCTCTCTATCTCTACCATTACTCTAATTATGCCTTGGGGGGAGGGCCTAGTCACTGACACTGCTGTGAAAGAGCTTGGTTGGTAATAAAAATAGCAAATAATTGTGTTGTTTGTTGTTTTACTCACTTTGCACCTATGGAGAGGTGAAGAAAACCCTTTAAGTACCTTTTTGATGACTCTAAAATGGTACATGGAATTGGGGAAAAGTGATTATAGGAGATGAATTACTGTAATTGTGTCTTAATTCAGATAAACCCTGACTTTTTCACCTCCTCAAACACACTCTACCACATCGCTTGAAACCAGCGCATAGGTTACAGCTGTCAGTCAGCAGCAGAACGACAACAGGGTAACTTGACAGGGTAGCAGCAAGAGCTACATTTACTGCACAAATTGGAGGAGGCTGAATTCCGGTGGCCAGTGACATATGACTCACCGCTCTAATTGCTTTAATACAGAGCTACTCTCTACCAGGGGTCTGGACATTATAACAAGGCCTAACCAAGGAGGCCAATTCAAAGTGTGGGCTTAATCATTGTGACAAAGGCCACAATGATTACTCTTTTTATAACGCTATAAAATTCAAGCACTTTACAGTCACTATTTCAGGGGTCTCCAATCAGTGACGGGAGGACGGAAAGAGGCCGTGATTTGCTCCGAGAAAAGGTAAGAGTGATTACTTCAAAGAGAACACTTATCCCACTGTTTGAAGTATTTGAGATGTATTTTAATGGACATGGAGCTTTGACATACATAAGCTTGAATGTAGATCTTAACTTTGTCTTTAGGTGCCTTAATTATTCAACTTGAAAGATGGCCAGGACTTTTCTGACCCAGAGATGACCCAGAACATGCTCCCTGACTATATAGGGTTCATATATATATCCAGTGTGAGTTATGAATTTTCGTGTCTATTCATTTGTTTTTTTTTGGTGCTGGAATACATTAAGAATCAGAATGCTGCAGATATTTTGAAAATTGAACACCATTTTTTCCCGTTTTTCCCCCGTGCTAGAAACCTATTAAGTCCTACACAACAAATCAGGCCCACAAGGATTAAAGTAATAATCCTTTCAATCCTCCTAGGTTTTTTGGCAATGTTGTTGCTAAGCATTCTGGTTATTTTGTGGTATTTTTGCTTTCCTGTTGAGAAAGTTTTACTTTCAGGTGTAACTGTTAATCTTATCAGCCACGGTGGCCCACACTGCTCTCACTAAATATCTAGTTTTCTATGCTTATTGCTTTTTTCCAGAACAACCTAAGCATTCCTGTGCTCCATTAGTTTTGTATGTAATGTGCTCGTTTAGGCCCTTGTATTCGTTAAGGAAGCGCATACATTGATGCTAATATGGCAAGTTATACATTTATGTAAGTTAAAATTCTCAGAGTAATAATGTACCTACAGTAAGAGACAGAATCCTTAAAATGGTATAAATGTGATGTAATTACGTGCTGCCTTTGATATCTACTCTACAAATAAATTTTATGTTGGTGATCAAACACTTTGCACATGAGCAGTATTGAGTGTAGCTTGGGAATGGTGGTTCAAAGCGAATGTGTGACAAGTTTAAAAGGGCTGAGTGTTGACACATGAGGTCTACGTTTTAAATGTTAAGGGCTGCATTTCTGTGTGCTTCCAAAAGGGGGCAGAGTATCCTTTCATATGTCTCCTCTCCTTCAGACGATTGAGCTATTTTCATTAGAATTAGCCAGATGCTGTTGAGAATTACCCTGAGATCTGAGAAAGCCAACAAGAGCAGACACCCGTGTGACTTATGAGCACTTTAAAGTCAGCCACATCTGGTGCCACTACAGAACTTGTCCCAGGGAAATAAAAAGGAGCCACTAATTCAACGTCAAACCCAAGAATTAATGCTTAACATCTGATTCTTTGTGATGAGGCATTTCTTTGGGCACTGGCTGTGACTCTTTGGGTGTCAAAAGCTTAGTTTAAAAACATTTTTTTCAAGGGAATGATGATGTATTGAGTGTAAGTGCTACACAGGAGGAACATTTGACAGGAAAATGCCAACTTGAATGCTTACTTAACATTAAAAAAACCTTTGCTTTCAATGTCCCATCATTATTTGGGTCTCATTTTAAAGATTCCTGGATAACACCCAAAAATATCAATCACGAATAATTGATTTTCCATCTTGAATTGTGTTTTAGCAGCTAACAAAAGTCTGACAGGGTGAGATGAGGTAAGCGAGACAATACAAGGCTGTGTTATTATTGGAGAACTCCACAGTTGAGAAAAATCTGATTCCCAGCCATTCCTATTGTTTCACTCTTTCCATTGATCTCTTGCCAAGGTTGCAGAGTGCTGGTTTACTGGACGCTCCTGGTGAAGATGTTTGTGTTTTCAAAGCTTCTTACCCAGAGCATGAGAAGCCTTGGTGGGGTCTATCAGTGTGTGAGCCACAGAGCGCTGAGGTGTGTCATTGAGAGGACCTTTGGGGGTTAATGCCTGGCCGGTTGATGTGCACATTAATCTGAATGGAGGCATAAAGTGACAGGTCTGTGATTTAGACTGCCTATTAAAGCCTACAGTCACCTGTTACATAACGTTATGACTCCAGATCAGAAGCTCAGGTGCTCTGAGCCGCCTGCATGAACAGGTGGATGATAAGCAGGGATATGCTAACACTTACGCATCAACATCAGGCCTTGGGATCTGCGTCGTGATGCTAGTTATTCATATCTACAGGATGTCTGCACGATTCTTCCCCCGTTGGCTATT